GAGGAAAGGGATCACCACTCGCGGTGGTCGCCCGGTATCCGAGGGGCACCGTTGTCGACACTGCACCCCCAGTGCCACGCAGTCCTCGGCACGGTCGCCAACACCTAGCTTGACTTGGGAGGTTGGTCCTCGCTAACGTACTTCACTTGTTTGATTGCACTTGTATCTCGATTTAGAGGACTGTGACTTGAATTACAAATGTAACATTGGCTCTTTGGTGGTGGAAAAAAAATTCCAGGTAGCTTTGACAAGCATCAGTTCTCGGGTCAGTTGTACAAGGATTAGTCATTTATTTCGGTTTCATAAGGATAAGTTTTTAGACATACTACTCATTTAAAGTTTATAGCTGTTTTTTTAATTAAAAAATAAATGAAATTCTGAAATACAAAATATTCGTATAAATTAAAACTTTCTTAGTATCTTTCCTATTGTGACATTATAACTGTACCTTTTAATTAAAATGACGACGTCTGTCCAACCCCATTTTTCCATTGTTTTTTTGACATAAATAACGATATACGTTAGAAGCGGTTGTTCAAATTAGGTACAGAAAGTGTAAGTAATTAATTCTTAGAAATATAAGAGACCGAAATATGCAAGGAAGCTCAAATAAGCCATCTTGTTTACACAATTGCATCGGTGCAAAGGACCCATTTAAAAAAATTGCGTTTTACCATTTACCTACGCAGGTAGGTACCAGAAAATTTTACCTTAATTTCAATTTTGTACTGTAGTCCATATTCAGATTGTATTATATCTAGATAAAAAAAGCACACTCCATATAATAACAAATAAGAAAACTTTATTCCGTTGACTTGTTTCAATATAATAAACCTGAATTTGCCAAATATGTTTACCGCGTCTTGAACATCCCCTCGATCACTGAGTTGAAATGGGCATTAATAATAAATCGAAGAGCCATCTTTCCACCGTTCCATCAGATTGTGGATGCTGTCCTAGTCTCCATAATACCCAATTTCTTACACACATTCCGGAACACAGCAGATTCGAAGATCCCATCCTGGTAAGGACATTTTTCCTTGAGACACAGAGTATTCAATATTTCCCACCAGGTCCTCGTGGTCAAAGACTTCGATAAATGGCAGGAACAGAAAACTGCGAAAATTTTTTTACGTTCCTTCCAGTCGCCAAATTGTCGGCCCAGCTTTTTTATTTGTGGATAATTTTACACGATTTTAAATTTCCCTTTTAGAACTTGTGAATCACAGTCCAGACCTGTGGTTTACATAGTTGGCGGTTTGCGGTTCTCTCTATCTTCAAAATGAGATGGCACTATTTTCGCATTTTTTTGTGTACAACCCATAAATAGTTGGTTTTATTTTTCTAGTCCCTTCGGATTGAGGGGCCAAGCAAATATGAAGCAAATTTACTTAATTATTTATTTAGTGTGAAGGTTCTATCAGCATACAATGAGAATAAACAGAAACCAACACCTATTCTTTGGCAAGCTTCCATCAGGCGAGCATTAATGTATTTTGTTATTACATATTTATTTAGCTGTATCGTTATAAAGAATTGGAATGGTTTCGGATGCCAAGTATATTTCGTCATGCACTTTATCTAGTTTACTTAAACCGGAGAAATCTTATCTCTTTTTGAACAAACAAATTTTAGACACTGTTTACCGATTTGCATTTTAATGTAAATTTTGGAAAACGGGGATAGAATTTTGGAAATTTCACGAAACTAAGCAGGTATCATTCAAGGACCTATTAACACCTTTCAAGAGAGAAGGGGAAACTCTCCACCATTTTCTAAATGCCTTATCGAGGTGATTGCAAATGTTGCATTTGTAGGTATGTGTTAAGTATGGTAGCTCACATGTTTTTTTTAATCATTTTCCATTAGGTTTAGAGTTTTTTAATTTCAGAACAGAAAGTAGAAATGTTGCAAATGAATCATCATCAACGTGCACGGAACCAGATGTCATTGCTTACGTAAGAAAACTCTCCACTTTTAGTGATCTATAAACCAAAATTTATCGTTCACATAATTTTTTAATGTCTATTTCTGACAGACTTACGTCGTTTTTATGGCGCCTTAATCCATTTGATCTCTGGCACCTATTTTGATAGGGTGCAGGAAATGATTAAGATCAAAATCCCGTGGTATCTACATAAATACAAAATAAAATCATATAAGGGCATCACCACCTGTACAGTATAACAAACAGACATAATTCAGTAACGGTAAACAAAAGCTTGGAGCACACCATGCTTCAATAAACAGATATCAGAATTTTATGCAAAATAAATAATAAAAAACTGACATCAATTCAATGATTGATGCTTAGTACAAGAAACTTCTAGAATATTATCGAGTAAAGACATTATATTCCCCGGAAAGAATGCGCGACATCCGCCTCCACTTCGTATCGTCGGTGACTAATCCTTTATCGATTTGATGGCGCCCCGATGTCGCTCTGCAACCTTCGCTACATTAATAACAATATCCAAATGTGGGACGAAAGTAAAGGACGACACTTATGAAATTATATAAGAGCTTTTTAAGGTCGCATTGAACTTGTTAGAGCATTTGATAGGCATCCCGAGTCACCTAATGTTTTCTGTCTTAAGAATTTTCAGTGGTTTCTACAACGTTATTGTGCCATTTAAAGCTTTTAACAGAGCTTTTTGGAACCTTTAAGCATTTGAGATCAGTTTTAAGAACCTTAGGACATTTTTCAGGGCCTTCAAGCGCCGCACATTAGCCAAGTCTCCATAGCTCTTCGGGAAGTTTTAAGACCATGCGCGTCAAAAATGTTAATTAGCCTTTGGATTTTTACGTCCTTTTAGGGCTGCAGTTTCGCAGAGCTTTCAAGAACCCCAAAGAGTCCGTTTCAGAAACTCCTTTTACTTCTTTAAAATCCGGGTGTATATTAATCCTAAAGGGTCCTTAATAATCTTTAAGATCCTTAACGTCCTTCAAAAGTATTAAAGGATCTTTAAAATTCACCCTTGCATTTTTAGCGCATTTTCCAACTCAGATTGAATGTCGCTATTATGACCACTTCATTCGCCCGCCCGATGCCTTAACTACTCCAACAGTTTTCAAGATATTTCGTTCATTCGTTTTCCATTCGTTTCGCTTATATAATGGCGCGCATTTCATACATTTTTTTGAAATTTTAACGACAGATTCTTCTAGTAAAGACAAGCATATCGCATATTGTAAAAATAATATGTGCGCATGCGCAAACTGCAATTTTAACCACAGATGCTAGTAAATTATTTACCGTTGCACACATAAATACTATCGTTACAGACCTTTCGGGAAGTACTGATTAATTTATGGAAAATGTGCCTTACGGCGGAAGCCTTTAGTTTTACTGAACCATTACTATTAAAGAGCCTTTAATAGTGTTTAAGAGACTTCATGAGTATTTATGACCTTTAAGAACCTTCCAGATTGTGTTAGAACTATTAAAGTATTTAGGAGAGGGGATACCTGCACCGTTCAAGGTCGTTCGCCATGTGGCGGTGACCTTGAAAAGTAGGTCAAGGTTAGGCCGAAAGGTCGCTTGCCCGTAAAGGTCAATGCGCCGCATTTGTTGTGGCCTCATAATTTAATACCAAGGCAATCAAAGGTCAATGGCCACAAATTTGTTGATACATTTATATGATTCTTGGATGACCTTGAAATTGAATTACGTGACCACAAAAGGTGGAGTCATTGACCCTTGTGGGCGACAGTTCTTTCAGCTTTACCTTGATCTACTTTCCAAGGACACACAATTTTCAAGCGAACTACCTGCAAGCTTATTGGTCCGTACCTTGAAGCGTGAGACTTGACAGTTGACCTTTGTCTTCCAATTTGAATGTTTCGGTTTCTTCTTTGACGCAGAAACTTGCGGTTGGTTAAAAGAACATAATTTGAATCGTTCATCTTGAGATTTAAATTCGGGATTCGAGAAATTGTAGGAATGTCTGAGATTCCAGTTTTGATTTTAGACTTCGTGGTATTCGTAAAATTTGAACCTTGGCGGCATTAGACCTCTTGCACTTTGAATTTTGAAGTTTTAAAGTGTTTTTCAAGGATCCAACAGCAGCAGAAAATTGGTAGATGTTACAGTGACCTTAAAAGTGGAGAAAATACTAGATGCTTAATGCGCAATTTGATGTTTGATAAGTTAGATAACGAACTTGATGTGTAAATAGGTACGTTTATTTATAGCGTCTTCCTGCTGTATGTAAATTGAATCGTTTACGGTGTAATTTTCGGAGCACTTTAGTGCTCGTATAATTGAAATCGGCGAACTATTCTGCAACTTGATGTTTTACTTTACATGCTGGACTTTTGATTTAATGGCTGGAGTGAAACCGATCTTATTTGATGTGGCGTTTTGGAATATGCAAAACTAATTAAGATATACTGTTATCGCCCACAAGTTGGGGCCTACGATTTTCGAAAGTCATTAAAAGATCAACGCGCTACAAAATTTAAATACGTAGAAAGAAAGTATGTGATCATACTAACTTTAACCTGGGAATTATACATTTTCTAAACTACCGAGCCTATATTTCGACCACACTGTGTAGTAAAACCTGTAACCATGCGCACTCTTAAAAAAATAATCTGACCTCCCGACCCGTTCACAGGAGTCTGGTCAAAGTAAGCGATATCATGGCCCCTTCTTTATGTCAATACTTGACAGTTTGAGACTTTTATACTGACTTAAAACTTCCAAATTTGAGACCCTCGGTGGCCTCGATCAACTTTAAAACACACAGAAATTTTGCTTAATTGATTGACAATGACAAACATGTATTCCGAAACATATAAAACAATTACAATAAAATCCCTGCAAGAATGAAAAGTGTACAAAGCTTGTTTTGGCATAATACCCCGCACGCAGGCGGGCGATAATTAAAATAAGAAATCTACAGTTTTTTCTAATAATCCGAAAAATCTGGTTGTTAAAACAATGCAGACAGCCCGGATGAAATAAAAAGTTATTAATAACATTTTTTTACTTTCAGATTTAAGTTCCTAAATGTGTTGAAGACACCGTACAATAAATTCGACAAATATGAATCCCAGCTACCAGCAGTACCGCAACGCCTACCCGGAATTACCGTTCATGGGAGCGCCATGCGCGTCGAACGGCTATGGTTGGCACGGCAACGGTTACGGATGGCAGCTCGACCCGCTCAAATGGACGTGCCCGAGTGGGGACACCGAGAGCAACGAGGTCGTCTCGGAGCCCATCCTCAGCTCACAGAAGGTCGAGGGCTCCCACGCTTGGGTAAGTATTTGAACGCCCTCTAAATCTTTTCTATGCTCTAATTCAGTACTGCCACGCTAATTATTAATTTCTTTCTCTTCTATATTTCTAATGGTGATTGGAGTAGTTTGGATCAGGTCGCTCGGTAAGTCAGCGTGATGTACTGGGATCACTAACATTTTCATTGATCATGTCCATCTTCGCTCACTAAACTTTTTCGCCCAGTGCGTGCCGAACCTATAAGACATGATACAGATCAGCGAATATACAGGCTGTTCCACGCAAACCTCTACCTAGAAGAAATTTGCAAACCAACATAGTTTTTCATGATCAATCGAGAGAAGATATCATCACCTTGGGTTTTACAGGATGTGGATAGCAACTTTCAAATTTTAAATAGAACACCCTGTATAATTTTAAGATAAACATTGTCGTGTTCGAGGACTTTTTCCAAAAACTAAGAGGTTTATTGATAGGTCCAGACTTTACACTCGCACTGTATAACAGTTCGTACATAATCCAATTTGTTGCTAATTCACGCCATACATTTGGAAAATTTGCAAGTGCATTTTTTGGTATAATTAAAGAACCCGACAAATCCTTTATGTCCGTTTGTCCGTCGGAAAGCCGTTCAACGGAAGTTCCTGGCGAATTGAGATTTGCTGTTTCGGTTCCTCTTGGTTCTAAGGGAAACTCTTTTGAACATAGTTATTGCAAATAAATGACTGATTCATAGCAGGTAGGTACCTAACTTGAAAAAAGTACGGTAGATTTTTATTAAGTTTACTAACAACTGTTATATTAACCTAATTGCTCAATTGACTTCTAAACGAGTGTAATGGGAACGAGTCAATAGTGATATTAAATGGAATTAACACAAAACAATAGACAAATAAGATGAAATAGAGAACTGAATTTATTTTATCTAATTGTTTAAAATTGTGCCCTCGACCATTACTATTTAATTGGATTAGAAGGTCTAGTTGGTTTTATGTCATGGCGATGTTATTTGCGATTGTCATTGGTAATGCAGTAGAATACTGCGCTTTAAATTAGCGCCTTCGTCAAGTATGGATAACAAAAAAGCGAGTACGATGTTAAAAGGGCAACCGGCTCGAGATGAAAACCGGAAACAAGGTGGGGAAATTAAAGATTTCAATCTCTCTTCTTTGTAATGGGATCCCTTTAACGAATTTTATTCGATTCGATTTTTTACAATAAGCTTTTTCGATACTACGTGAGCGATTAGTCCCTAAATACGGACCTGACTTTGTAAATGCGTGTGAAAACTTAAGGCGCCAGTGAGCCCTGGGATATGGCGAGGTTGGTTCAGATTACAGGAAAGATTTTGCTTATGCTGCATTCATCATGTGACACTTGTTCATTTACAAGGGATTATTTAACTATTACGTTAAATACGAAGAATAGTGGAAGTTCAAGCAATTGTCAAAATTAATTATTAATTATTAATGAATCCTTTGCAGGAACAAAACAAACGAAGCACGGCCATCCTATTTCACTGTAATATTTTAAATTCGCCCCGGAAAAATCAGTTCCTGTATATTGGGTCCTAAGAAAACCCTCCCCACGAAATTCACCCTACGATGAATTACAGGTGGCTAACGTAACTTCGTTCGGGGCTCACTTTGAATTTGCTAACAAAAATAAAACACACCCTGCGCTAATTTACAGGGCTGCCCCGACCGCTTCACGCTAATTTTTTCGCGCGGTTTGCGATTCGGTCCACCTAACGGCAATCTACAGTTGGTTGACTTGACTTAGGTCACGATTCAATGAGCATTGCTTGATGGTTCCGCCCCAACAACCAACTTCCCACTACTTTTTTTGAGTGACATCCATTCCGGTACGCGAACCTTTTCCTACCAGTAAAAGTAGTTCCAAAGTCACGACCGTATTTAAGGATCACTCGCCCACGTCAAAAATCGACAAAATTTATGAAATCCTGCCAAACAATGAGACCACTATCGTTTAAAATTGTAACAATCGAGAATTCAAATCCTTGTAAAATAGAAAAATTTATTCGATAGGTATTCTCATACGATTATGGCGTTGTGCGCGGGTGCTCCATCCTGTTGAAACCAACAGTCTCCAACTTTTGTTTTTTGGTGTGCCGTACGTCGTTGTATTCGTAATAAAAAATGGTACTGAATACAGTGTGTACTATTTTTACGAGCCATATAAAAACGTTAACTTGATGATAATTTCTCCGGAACGAAACGTTGTATTGAAAATCTATGAACGGTATCTCGTATAACTTAAAAAAGTGCATTTTTCTGTAATTGCGCAAATATCAAGTAAAAATAAAAACGAAATCGGCAAATTTTGGTTTCCCTGGTATAACTTCGGAAGTAATCGGAATTTGCTGGTTTTCTTTGAAGCATGGTAATATTTAATTGAGCAACTTTTCCTTAATTTGCCTAAGATCCCCATAATAGACATCCTTATCTTGACCACAGTGTATATGTGAATATTTTGAAATTTAAGTTTTTGTCTTTACTTCGGAGCAAGTAGTGCGATAATTTCAGTTTTTCAGTAATGGAGAAAAAGGTCCATTCTACTTGAAAAATTTTCGATATATTGAGCTAGCCGTCGGCAAACCACTGTATAAAAGAACACCCTGCGATAAATGGTGGGTGATCGTCTTAACTGCACTAACGGCGGGACGCGAGTTTGAATAACTCCCAAGTCCCAATAAAATCCACCCTAGAATAAATTACATGTTGTTGACTTAATTTCGCTCGCGGCTCACTGTGAATTTTTTAACACAAACTCCGCGCTAATTTGCAGGTGTCAGACTTAATTGCGCTGACCGTATTTAAGACCACTTGCGTACGTAAACTTCAGTAAAAGTGCCAAATAATGAGACCACCATAGTTTAAACTCGAGCTCCAGATTCATTTTTGAAGCAAAGCTCTAGATCTGGTATGAACTCTTGTGAAGTAGGCAGCAGGACTAAATTTCTTTGGGCAGATATGTATCGGAGACCTCTCTGGTAGCTCGATGGAATTTTGTACAAAATATACAGAATCGACAGTTAACATTTTTATAATTAGCGTCACGATAATTGCGTAACATCAACAGTTGCTCAATCGCGTTTTTAATGCGATAAATAGGTCAATAATTTAATAAACTCGTTCAAGGATGGTACCCAAAAATGGTAGCAATTCGCAAAATACCACGCCGAAATCGTGCAACGGGAACTTGATTTAATTTATGCCGCTATTAAAACGGAAGTCAAGGTTGTTTGTCTTACTAATTAAAGCATGTTTAATTATAAGGTTAAACCATTGCATTCAATAATTGCTTGCAAGCAACCCGAGTTACCGTGATGTTACGTTGGTTGCCGAATGTTTGATATTAAAACACTGGATTTTTCATTTACTATGTTGAATGCATCTGTCTATGGTAATTTGAATGCAACCCAACCTCTGAGAAGTGTTGTATCACAGGTTAGAGAATCGAATGCGCTTTAAAATGATTCACCTCAAAAGGTAAACTATTTGGTTTCACTTCGATGCAAATTTGATTCATCAAGGAGCCTAGTGGGGCCTTTAACGGCTCTAAAACAAACTAGAAAGCTCTTGGAGGCTCTCATTGGCTGTGGTAGATTCTTTGAGATTAACGGCGATTCTTACAAAATGAAATTTTTTTTTAACGAGTATGGTTTATATTGTGAGAATTTTAAACGATAATGGTCTCATTATTGGACAGCATTCCTTAAATTTTTAGAATG